CAAATCATAAAGGAGAAGTTGTTAACTCTCTTTAAATATTTCGTGCTTATGTATCACTCAACTGAGGGTTATGAATTTTAATTACTTACTTATGTAACACCTAGATTTTTTTTTACATCCATACCACTTCACTGGTTCTATCGTTGTCAAAATTAGTCTGCTATTCATTGGTCATTTTCATTTTGTTAAGATTGTTTACTTTGTAACTCTTTTAGTTGAAATACTTGCTGAAATTTCAAAGACGTTAAGAAGCATTCATTTGTTGTTTATGCACTCTCTTTCTAAGAGAAAAATGATGTCTGAGACTATCATAAATTTTTTAAACATCTCTGATATTTGAGTCTTTCTGTAAATCTTACTCAAATGCTAAGATTATTTAGCAGTCTTTATCATTTGTGGTTCATAAATTATAAAAGGAAAAAATAATTTTTTTTTTTTTTATGTTTCACGGTTAAGCTTTATACTACATTAAGAAGGCTGAAAAACTGTATTTTAATTTGAATATGACAGAGATTAGACAATACTTTTCTGTGAATTGGGTCTTCTCAGATTTTTTTTATATATTGCAGGACATATTTGGATTGACATTTAAGGAGGTTAATGATGTTGAGGTGTGGCATGAAACAGTTGTATACATATAATCGTGGCTTGAGATTAAATCTGAAAATAAAGGATTAACGTTATGAACCTTTTAGAAATTCGTCCCTTTCAACTTCATTATACAAAACATTTAAAGACTAGTAGATAAGCATGTGGAATATTAGAGTGGCCTATAGGTTCGAGGTGCGGGGTAACAAGCAATGATGCAAAGAACCATTGATCAGCTCTTCTTATAGCTGAAAACATGAAATCGATATTCAATTAGTGAGTGCCCTTTCACTCCCTTAAGTTGTCGGTAGCCCTGACCCTTCCTCGAAAGGCTTGAGAATTGGTAGTTGGAAAAGAATAGATACACAATAAACACTACACAAATATTACACTTGCAAAATAACAGATACTATATCCACAAAATGATAAATACCAAGATACACAACAAACACTACACAATAGATACTACACACGACACCCTACATGATAAATACTACATTTGTACACATCGCATATTACACATCACAACCTACATGATAGATATTACAAGAATAGATATTACATTTCTTTGAAAGTTCAGATATTACATAATAAATACCACCTATTAGACATCAACGCACTATACACTGTTGATTAATAAGTTCAGATACTATACGTCACTTATCCTAACATCACATATAGGTGCACCACACCCTGATAAGTTCATATACTATCTCACATGAGTATATTATATCTTTAATAAGATAAACCCATATACTATTTGGATTCACACATCCATTGAATGACAGGGTCTAGGGCTGCCCAATTATAGGGGTAATTCGTTGGTAACCTCTAGTTGATATTGATAGGTTAACTTCAATATTTCAGTGGCCCGGGGGATCGAGAAATAAAAAAAAGAGGGCTAGTCTGAGCCTAACCCCAAATTAAAATCATATATCCCACTTTAAATTTTTTTATCATATATCCCACTTTAAATTTTCATATGCTTATCATTTAACCTTTCTTTTATAATCTACAAATGTTTATCTAACCCCTTTATTTCATGCATTTGTAATATGTTATGTAGCATCAACAAAATTAACCAGGTACATTTAGTTATTTTAGTTTTGTTTCTTTACTGCGTATTTATTTCTTTACTACATAGTCTTTCTTTTCTTTATCTTACTTTACTTTCATAGTTTTCTTTCAGTCTTTTCCTATTATAGTATTTTATTACACAATTGTTCCTGTCCTTTACTATATTGTACTATAGACATTCATCTGTACTCATACTTTTAAATATTGTTTTCCGAACATGTTTGTATAACACCCTAGGATAGGCCGTTCAAGGCATGGTTTTCTTCTTTCTTTATTCTTTTTTCAGGATGAGACATTTAAGCCATCAAATGACGATTCATCCCCGGGCAGCGATCGAGACTATAGCTGAAGACGGAGAGAGGAGCTTCAACTGAACCTCGATAGATTTAAATAACATACCTATAGGACGTCGAGGTTGTTCATCTGGTACGACGTAAATCCTCATACACTATCTTTTAGTACTTTCTAAAATTTTATATCGTACCATATACGTCCTAAATTTTTAAGATTTTAAGGTCGTCATCTGGTACGACATAAATCCTCACATTTTCTCGGGCTATTTACATATGACATGCAGACACAAGCCCCGAATATCTAAATAACTTGCTGGACTGAAATATCACATAATTTCTCTTTCAAAGATGTAAAGTCAAACCATAAGTTAGTTTTAGATGTCACTGAATCTTATTCTGTATCTTTGGCATCTCCGCCTCTTCGTTCATTTGGATTCCGGAAATAACTGTTCCTATTTGAACCTATCCCATTTGACTTTTCCTATAAGCAATAGTGGAAACCTAAACATTGAATTCTTGAAGACGAAACCCTGATCTTAATCGAGAGTCTTCTTAGGTGACTTCGATTATCTAAGATGTAATTAACTATAGGGGCTTGCCTCTATAGGGAATTAAGAACCCAAATTAATTTAAGCCCTATCTAATCTGTATATTAGATAGGGGATAAATTTCTTTCACAGACCAAAATAGAGTCATAAACTTTTAAGTTTAGATAGTTAAGCCTACCAATAAGTGATACGTTTATTCTTCGAGATAATATATCATTTTTTGTATCATGCTCAACTATTTAAACTATTAGATATATGAGGTCTATCCAGTCTCATTGTTTTCCAAAAATAATATATATATATATATATACCATTTTCCCAAAAATTAAAATTACATTATATATCTATTAAATTTAGATTTAAAAATCGATATTTAAAAAAAAATAGCCGACACATCTATAAGTATTAGGCATATTATTAAGCTCTAGTAATTAACAGAGAAAAATAAAGTTGTTAAAATCAACTAACCTACTAATGTTAGGAGGAGAACCACCTATCTTATCCTCAATTTATGAAAGCAAGAAAAATTACTAAGAATGAGCATGGACCATTAATACTATCATCTAAAAGTGTAATATCATTCCACAAATCTTTCATAATATTGGAATTATTATCACCATAAACACAAGTGCCATAAAAATTAATTTAATTGGAATAAAAATCTAACCATGTATAAATTAAGCCTTTATGACAAGATAAACAAATGAAGGAATGTCAAAGTTCCACTTAATTTGAATCTTATTATTATTATCACAACTAAAATTAATTACATTATCCCTATTAAAATGATAAGAAGAAGATTAGTTAGAAAGAGTAGAGATATTAAACATCAAATATGCATGTCATACTCTTTAATTAATTTCCTAAAATTAGATACAAGTGCTTCAATATTAAGCTTTCTCACATTTCAAGTCAAAATATTAGGGTAAAGCATGCAAGAATACTAAAAATTACTGCAAAATATTACCACCACCTTTCACTCTTCACTTTTTTGCCTTAAAGGCGAGAAGGGAAGAAGACAAAGAAGGAACAAAAATGTCACTCGTAACAAAAATAGGAACTGAAACAAAATTATGAACATAAATAACATAAGGAATAACAATATAAATTGTATCAGAGCCAAACTTATTAATTAAAACATAAAACATATTATCCAAGCCTTTTTTTTTTAATTATATTCTATAACCTGAATATAAGAAGTGATATTAAGAGAGACATAATTATTGAAATTATCCAAAACTTGACGAACATCAAAACAAACAACAATATCATCATGCGAAGACTTGAAACAACAAGAATTCTCTGCCAAGTTATTTAAATCAGGAGCCAAAATAAATAAAAAAAACATAAATTAATAAGAGGGTGAGAGAAGGTATTTAAGTTATCTTTTTGTTTTGTTCGTTTGTTTGTTTTTTTTTTGTGTAAAAAAACACTTATATTTCTACTTATACTCCTGCCACGAACAACAAAACTAACAATCCAAGTTTGAAAATTAAGAGATCTAGAACAAACAAAAGAGTAAAGAGCAAAAGAAGAGTAAACCTTACACAAATTAGGTTTTCACTCCTAAAGAACATGTTGGACTATGCTTTAACTTTTAACAAATAGTTTAATAGAATCCGAAAGAATGTAATTTGTGTAAATTTAAATGTTAACTCTAGCAAAGTTTAACCTAGATCCATTTGTCATGAGAGGATCAAAGACAAGAGGGATACCAATCCTGCTAGCTACTTTCGAAATTTTACACACCCACCAACATCATAAATTAAATTAGGAAATTTAATACATGTAAACACGTCTCTAAAATCCTCCTTAACTTATTTAAAATAATGTCTCCATTCTCTAAATAAAAAATGGTATACATATATGGAAAAAGGTCCGCCCATCAAGTCAATTTCAAGATTTTCACTACAATAGAATCTAAAATGAAAAGAAATCCTTCAGAAAGAGAAAGGAGATCCACAATATCTTTGAACTTCTACATTTTCTTTAAAAATTGTAGAAGAGTACCATAAAAAGGCATCTTCATATCCAACTAGAGCAAGACTCCAAGGCATTGATTCTTCTTCAACTTCTTGATCCAAAAAGGATATTTAATCATCAACAAATACAAAACAAAGACAAGTTAGAAGCATTAAAAATGGTTAATGTTAAAAACCCTTTCCAGAGGGAATTTGACCAAGAAGAGACATATTTAAAGAAGAGCGAAGAGAAGGAAAAAAAGGGCAAAGCTCTAAGAAGACTAGAGAGGACGCTCGTCACTTCAAGAAAAATGACAAAAACTAAAACTAAGAAAGAAAAAAAATAACAAAGAGAGGACAAGAAATGAGAAATAAATCTCAGAGAATGAGAGCACCATGAAACTCTAGATTTTTAACAGTTTCTAACATGAAGTTTAGAACCAAATCAAACAAGCATTTTTGGCACCTAAAAAATATTGCATTTCTTTTGTCAAGAAAAGAAAAGAAAAATGATCCGTGTCGGTCCTACAAAATTTTCTCCCACCGTAATCCGCCCCCTTCCTCCCGTGCACGCGACCATTTTGCCAAGACTTGAAAAAATAAAAATAAAAATTAAAAAATAAAAACGGCGGAAAATCGAAAAATTCCAACCTCTTTCGCACCCGTCGTCCCCTTCCTTCGCCACTCTCGCGCTCCCTCTCTCTCCTGCTCAACCAGCCGAGCCCCAGCCCAATCCCTCGTCTTCATCACTCTCAAGCGCACCAGGTTTTACAAAACCCTAATCATACTTCATGGACCAAAACGATGCGGCGCTCGACTTTGGCGCCGCCGACTTTCACCCTCACGTCAGTCAGCCCGGCCACGAGATGCCAGCTCTTAACGAGGACGAGACACCGGAAACTCTGGCAGAACTTTCTATTCATTTCGAGGACGCCGAGTTCGGCGAGTCTCTGCGGGGATCTCCCAATACGGCCGACCCGCCTCTCTCCTCCTCTTCCTGTGATGTAGCTCCAGTTTCTGAACCCGCGGGTGAAGTCGTATCAATTGAAGAGGTTTCCGCCAGTATGGCTTTAGATTTTGAGGCGATGCATGCTGTAGATGATAGCGTGGTGGCCGCGATGGCAGAAACGGGTGATACCGGCGGTATCGCGATTGATGAAAACTCCACGATGACGGTGGAAGTGGTAGACAGTGGCCCTGTAAAGCGGAAGCGAGGAAGGCCGCGTAAGAATCCTGAAGCGAAGGCTGCACCACTGGTGAGGAAGAAGGAGCGGGAGGATGTCTGCTTTGTTTGCTTCGATCGGAGGAATCCGAATATCGTGGCTTGTAACAGGAGGTTTTTTTGGTTTTGTTCTGCGTGATCTTATTGGGTATTTTTTGTTTAATGCTTGTTTTGATGTGTTAGTTTTGCGGCAGGGGGTGTTATAAAGCTTATCATGCTACTTGTGTGAATCGGGACGATGCATTCTTTCGTTCAAAGGGAAAATGGAACTGCGGTACTGTTCTAATTCCCTTTTCTTTACTCCCCTTCCTAATTCAGCATTTGCATTGCTTTTCTCTTTTTTTATTCATCTGGATAGATAGGTCTTCACGAAGTTGGAAATAGGGACTTGATTGCTTCTGAAGGATAATTTGCTTGGATAATTTCAAGTAGATTGTCTGTTAATCGAATGTATGAAAATAAATAAAACTATTTTATTCAGAAATCTGGAATGTGGTAGTCAAAGTTTTGTTATAAGTAGGTTTTGTTATCCTTTTATTGATATCTAATAGTAGGATATTTGAGTTCGTAAGTTTTCTTCTAATAACGTTTGTAAGCATCTTTGAGTTCTTTCCTCCCCATCCAAGAACAAAATCCAGTTTTTTGTGGCCTCCAAAATTACCCCAATTGTCCTCTTTAGTCAAAATTTGATTCCTATGGTAATTTTTGGTCGTTTGATATCTGGAAAATCCTTAGTTCAAGATATGCCAACTTGATAATGCTACTCTTTCTTGTTGTTTTTATTCTTTTAAACTGCAACGACCTTTTTGTTTGAATGCTTTTCCTGAATATTGATGTATTTTGTCTTTGTATAACAGGTTGTCATATATGCAGCACCTGTCAGAAAGCTGCTCACTATATGTGCTACACGTGCACAACATCTTATTGCAAAGAATGCGTCATTGATGAAAGTAAATACGTTTGTGTAAGAGGAAATTGTGGATTTTGTCAGAGTTGCCATAATACTGTTACACTGATAGAGCAAAACAAGCTTGCTTTTGAGAAGGTTTGCCTTTGATCCAGTGCTTTCAGATTTACTCTCATTTTTAATACATGTGCTCTCAACTGATATTATTACTGTTTAATTGGGGTTTTTATTTCTTCTATTTTTTTTTCTAGAAATGAACTTTGCTGAAAGTAATAATATGTTTCAAGTCAAAGAATAACATGCACATTAGTATTCTATAATGATAGGGAATCATTTAACTTCAATGGTTGAAAAAGAGGAATTCTGTGGAAGAAATGAAAATTAGAACTCAGACACAACTAGTGTACTTTGCATGCCTTTATTGGATTATGGCAGTTTGTGGGGGCTATTATACTTAATATTTTTTCATGAAAAGGTCAAAATGTCAAAGGAATCATTTTTGAAAAAAAAGAGAATTTTACCTCAATTATTATTGCTACTTTAATTGAGGTTATACAGATTAATTGTTTTGATTCATCTGAACCAGTTGTTTATATCATATCAGCACTTGCTATAGCATAAGTTCACTAGTAGTGCTCATTACAATCATCCTTTTACACCATCATTCTTATTAAAAAGGCAATGTTTAAAAGACAAATATTGGCAATTGAGGCAATTTCATTAACTGAATAGAAACATAGATTTTGAATCAATTCAAGTACGCAGATTTGAATGAAAACACAAAAAAGTCATAAAATTTTGAAAAATTAGAAAAATACACAAACCTTATAAGAAATATAACCTTAAATTATAAAAGAAAAACAAGAAAACACACAAAGTAAAAAAAAAAAAGAATAAAAATCTAGAGTTCAGAGAACATAAAAATTAGTAATCTAATACATAATTAAATTCTAAAGAAATCTTGTAATGCCCTATGTTAAGATTTTTTTGATCTTAAAATTAACTTCATTAACATTATCACAACTAAGATCATTTAAAGAAATTTCATGATTTTTAATAACTATATTGTCATTCCCATCACTCTCATGCGAGCCATCTCATTAATTTTCTTTCTCATCCAACAATATTTCTTTCTTTGTTCATGCATTAAGATTATTATGATAAATACCCTCATAAAAGGAAGCATTAAATTTCAATTTATTACATATTTTATGATGAATATACTACTATCTTCTTTTATTTTAGAATATAAATATCAATATCTTCATTATCATATAATCCAACAATACAATCTTCATTTTATTTTTCATTATAATCTTTTCATCATTTGATCGCAAATTTTCAAGAGTTAAATGACCATCATCAATGTTTACATAAAATTTATTTGAGGCGTGTATTTTATTATTAATTTTTTATTTTTCACTTATTTCTCTTCATAATTTTTGGCACATGTACTATCATTTCATTCATACACTAAAACTAAGGGAGAGACTAAGGGCCCGTTTGGGGCAGCTTATTTGGTGCAGTGACGTTTTGAAAACGCACCTGACTTGTTTGGGTAAACTGCGTTTTGACAGCTTATGCGTTTTCAAAACGCAGAAAACAACGTTTTCACACCGCAGTGGCAGCTTATTGGCAACGGTCTGATTTTTCCAAAAAAAAAAAAAAAATTGTAATAACCATCACACGTAGCTTATCAGCAGATTATTCAATAAGTTGCAGCTGCCCCAAACAGACCCTAATTAAACATAGGTTACGACGTGATACAAAGATTTTTCATAATCAGTTTGGATTTATTCTGGGCAAGTCTACTATAGAAGCTATACATTTATTGAGAGATTTGATGGAGAAGTACAGAGAAAGTAAGGAGGATGTACATATGATTTTATTGATTTAGAAAAAGCTTAAGATAAGGTTCCAAGAGAAGTTCTTTGGAAAGTTCTAGAAAAGAAAGGTGTTGATATGACATTTATTTAAGTCCTTAATGATATTGTATACTAGAGTTGTTATTTGTGTTTGAACAGAAGGAGGATTGATCAAGTATTTTTCTATTTCAGTTGAATTACATCAGGGATCGATTTTAAGCACATATTTTTTTGCTTTAGCTATCGACGCTTTTATTGGACATTTACAGGATGATGTACCTCGGTGCATGCTTTCACTAATGATATTGTGGATAAGACTAGATAAATAGTTCAGGAAAAACACGAATTATTGAGTTCTAATTTAGAGTCTAAAGAACTTCATTTGAGTAAATCTAAAACCGAACACATGGAATATAATTTTAGCAGTAGTAGATTTAGTGACAAAGTTGTAACAATGGGTGTCAAATCATTAAAATGAGTGAATATTTTTGAGATCTCGTGTCTTTTGTTCAAAGTGATGGTGATATAGACGAGGATGTTATTAATAGAATTCAAGTTGAATGGTTGAAGTTGAGGAATGCATCAAGCCTTTTGTGTGATAGAAAAGTACTGCTTAGACTTAAAGAAAAAAATTATAAGATGGCGGTGAGATCTGCAATGCTTTATGGCGCAGAATGTTTGCTTTTATAAGATAAGCATAAAACTAAGTTAAGTGTTGCTTAGATGAGAATGCTTAGGTGGATGAGTGACTTTACATTGAGAGTCAAAAAAGCGAAACGAATATATCCATGAAAGGGTTGGTGTAACTCTAGTGGCAGACAAGATTAAAGAGAGTCAGAGTCGTCTTACTCGTAGATGATTTGTTCACATTATATGTTGACCATTTGATGATCCTGTTAGGAGAGTAGAAGTTTTAGACTCGATTTATGTCAAGAGAGGTAGTGGTAGACCTAAAAATGGGCATGTTGTATGAAAAATGATTTTAATTTACTAGAATTAAATGAAAATATAATACTCAATAGGGCGCAATGGAGAACAAAGATTCATGTATCTTAACCCACTTAGTGGGATAAAGACGTTGTTGCTGTTGTTGTTGTTGCTCTGTTATTACATTAATGAAAATTAAACATTGTTTCTAATTTATTCCTCTCTCCATGAAAGCCTTGTCAAGTCAAATATGTAGCAACAATTCTTACAATGGCCAATATAAGGTTTGTATTGGTAAAATGTCTCATGAAACTTATTATCCAATTATAATTGCAGATGAAATTGCTTACTATTTTTGCTTTAATCAAATAATTTATGTGTTGTGGCAAATCCAAGCTTTTTTAGCATCAAACCGTGACATTGGGTTGCACAAGGAGTCCAAATTGGATGTTTTCTTCTCTACATTACCTTATATGCATTTTTATTATCTATTACCTCTTAAATAACAAGATGTTCCTAAATATCCCTCGCAATAACATCAAGCATTGTTAATAACCATTGTGCATCTTTATTAAACTTAGACGCGTAAGCACATTTTAAAGAATTCCATTCTATTAGAATTGTTGACAGGGAATTTGATTAAGTTTTGACCTCTAATTGCCTTGCCAACCATTTGATAATATTGAAACTTATGTTTGTGCCAATATGCTTTTTATTTCTTGAACTATCTTGGTAATCCTATTGACTTCGTCCTTCAATAGTCATGTTTGAAGCTCATTCATGTTTGGAAGTCTTAGTACTCGACCATAGTCTGCAATGGAGCATTCCATGATGAAGAAGAATGGATTCTTACCATTTAAAGGAATCCCATGCTCATAAAAAAAACTTTTAATATCCATAAAACTTGATTCTTATGTTATTTAGGGGATGCTGGTGGGATACTTTGATTTTAATTGTTAAAATTTGGATTCAAATCTTCAAAAAGAATTACTCCACAGGACCTTGAGTTTCTCTAGTGAAACAAAGATACTATCACTACTGCTAGTAGGATCAATTGTAGGATTAGAATTGAGCCAACAAAAATATAATATTCTCTTAATCATTTTATTCATATTTTCGCGCTGATTCTTTGTTGTTGTAAAGATATTTATATTTTTTAATATCTTTCATTTAGCTTTATAAGACACTTTTTCACATGGTTGCACATCCTAATGATTTTGAGCAAATTGATCTATTAGGCGCTTTCTATGATAATTTGACTTTTAAAAACTATATTTCTTATGTATGTAGCCTTTATTATCCTTTTTTGCATCTAATTCAACTTGAGGTTCACATTTCAAAGCAATATTTTTTCTCTTAAGATAAACTTTCGCCGTTATAGTAGAATTTCTACAACAGGGGTGAAATTTTTTTTAGAAAAGAAAGCTGATTCTACCTATCCATAGTTTACAATAAGATACGATCTGAACAACCGTCTAGAGATGTTTCTGGTCCTTTTGGATCAGCCACAACAACTAGAACCTTTTGTTTCGTTGTAAGAACCTGCTGCCAAGCTTCATATTTGTTATTCGATTTTATTTTAATGAGGCCTACAACAACTTTCTCCTCCCTTTGTTACATGTGCTAGAGATGAAACTCTAATTCTGAAAAAATTGAAACTCGTATTTCATGGTTGCAACACTTCATACTTCTGATTTCAAAGCAACAAACTTTTAAAAACAAGAACCCCTTGAATCTCTTAGGCTTTAGTGCTGCCACTTTCGGACGAGGGGCTCTTGAATCTCTCGGTCTTGAGCTCAACCAGAAAGGCTACTCAAATACAAAAAGGGAAAAACAAAAAGGCGAGGCAGAGGAGTTTTTTTTTTTTTGGTATTTAGAGCATGAATAAGAAGGAATGAATGCAATGATATGGGGGTCTAAACTCTCTATTAAGAGTTAAAACAAAAAGTCATCCATAAATACCTTGTTACCTTCTTAATCATATCACAAAAAATGGACATCTAGCAGTTTTAAATGTGGCAGGCGTATTGCACGGTCTGAAAGGTATTCTTCTAAAGCGAAAGCCTTGTAAAGACTTTTGAGAGTAGTCTTGTATTGATCCTCTGTAGCTATCATGTTTTGATGGCACCCCAAATATCCATATAATAAATAGAAAAGTGGGTGACCAACTAGCTTATCTAACATTTGATTAAAATGGGAAGAGAGATGTGGTCTTTTCTAGTGCAACTTTTTATTTTCTATAGTCAGTACAAATATGCCACTCAGTGATATCTCTAGTAGGTTTCAATTTATTTTGTTCATTCTCCACAACAGTCACCCCTTCCTTTTTGGCTACACAATGGATTG